TAATGGGTTGATAACTGAATGGGCGTGGTGGGAGAAGGTAGGTCACTGGGCCTTTGGGTTTGTATTTTGTCCCTAGTGAGCAGAGCTTTCTTTCTTTGCTTCCTGATTACCATGTCCTGAGCTGATTTCCTCCTCCACACCCTTCCACCATGTTTTCTGCCTCACCTCAGGCACAGAGAAATGGAATTGGCCATCTATGGACTGAGATCCCTGAAACAGTGTGTGCCAAATAATCCTTTCCTCCCCTAAAATTGTCAATGATGAAAAAGCCGACTGAAATGGGGGTTGTATGAATCTCACTACAAATATGTGCACATATTTGCAAAGGAAGATTCATTAGTAAAAGCTTATTTTTTTCCATAAACCCAAACAGAAAGCAAAGGAGAAATAATTATTAAGTACAAGGTGTCTACTCTTCAATTTCTGGCACAGTTTTTAGTTTGTAGTATGAAAATATTTTTGAAAAGATTCTATGTGCATGGTAAAAATTTAAGTAGTATAAAAGGTTATTTCAACAAGATTGTCTCCTGACCACCCCTGTGGCCCTGTCCTCCTATCCAAACCACCAGTGTCCCCAATATTCTTTTATGAAAGCAACTTCCAATTCTATATACACGAATGTCTGCATGCATATCCAAATTTTAGTAACAATAGTCATAACTCTCTACAATTTGCCTATTTATGAATAGCAACTAAGAGTTTAATTACCATCTACTTACCATTCTTGGCAAATATTGAGACACACTTTTTTGGAAGGATACCTGGTTGATTGCCTTCTTTTTCTCCATAGTAGTTTGAGCTGACTATTCCTGAAGCAAAACTACTATTTTATAGTTTTTTTCTTTCTTGCCATTTAAAAAAAATAAATTTCTACATACTCTAGAACTGCTGGTTAATGAGCTGTAACAAATTGCCATGGGCTTCCTCCTAAGTGAGCCTTCCTGACTCCCCTTCTGTCATTAAATCCTTTGGCTTTGTTTATCCAATGCTCTAAGTCAAATTCTTCCAGAAGCAGACTAGGAAGGGTCTTTAGTTGAGCAAAGGGCCAACTTAATTGATATACATTGATATAAAGTATAATAAAAATTGGGGTAGCCATTAATTTATTGTAATGAGTACTATTTACTGTACCTTCAAGCCCATAGTTTCCTTAAAAATCTCTTTTATCCTCTCTCTTCCTACACTTGCACTGCAACATCACAGAAACCTTTAGTCCCTGTGGGTCTCATTCATTCTCTGCTCAGCCTGAACTCTCAACTCCTATTAAGTACTGTTAAAAACACCCTAATGCCCTCATCCTCTCTGTCAACTAATTGAACTCTAGATCAAACCTATAATTTATCTTTTCTACTATCACGGCTGGGTAAGCCTTGTCAAATAATATTACCATGACAAATTTATGGCTCCCAGGAATCCAAGTCTTTAATGCCACTTGCCACTTCTTTTACCTACAATATTATTTGGGGTACAAATTTGGCTGGCTATACTAACAACAATTATGATAGACATTAAAATGACCATGGGTGTTAATAACTAGAATCAACAAAGGGGACTTACTCAAACTAAAAAGTTTTTTTCTCAGCAAAAGAAACAATAAGAGAGGTAAATAGGGAGCCTACATCCTGGGAACAAATCTTTACTCCTCACACTTCAGATAGAGCCCTAATATCCAGAGTATACAAAGAACTCAAAAAATTAAACAATAAGAAAACAAATAACCCAATCAACAAATGGGCCAAGGACCTGAACAGACACTTCTCAGAGGAGGACATACAATCAATCAACAAGTACATGAAAAAATGCTCACCATCTCTAGCAGTCAGAGAAACGCAAATCAAAACCACCCTAAGATACCATCTCACTCCAGTAAGATTGGCAGCCATTATGAAGTCAAACAACAAGTGCTGGCGAGGATGTGGGGAAAAGGGTACACTTGTACATTGCTGGTGGGACTGCAAATTGGTGCAGCCAATTTGGAAAGCAGTATGGAGATTTCTTGGAAAGCTGGGAATGGAACCACCATTTGACCCAGCTATTCCCCTTCTCGGTCTATTCCCTAAAGACCTGAAAAGAGCATGCTACAGGGACACTGCTACATCGATGTTCATAGCAGCACAATTCACAATAGCAAGACTGTGGAACCAACCTAGATGCCCTTCAATAGACGAATGGATAAAAAAAAATGTGGCATTTATACACAATGGAGTATTACTCTGCATTAAAAAATGACAAAATCATAGAATTTGCAGGGAAATGGATGGCATTAGAACAGATTATGCTAAGTGAAGCTAGCCAATCCCTAAAAAACAAATGCCAAATGTTTTCTTTGATATAAGGAGAGTAACTAAGAACAGAGTTGGGAGGAAGAGCATGAGAAGAAGATTAACATTAAACAGGGGTGAGAGGTGGGAGGGAAAAGGAAAGAGAAGGGAAATTGCATGGAAATGGAAGGAGACCCTCATGGTTATACAAAATTTCATACAAGAGGAAGTGAGGGGAAAGGGGAAAAAAAAAAACAAGGGGGAGAAATGAATTACAGTAGATGGGGTAGAGAGAGAAGATGGGAGGGGAGGGGATGGGGGATAGTAGAGGATAGGAAAGGCAGCAGAATACAACAGACACTAGTATAGCAATATGTAAAACAGCGGATGTGTAACCGATGTGATGCTGCAATCTGTATACGGGGTAAAAATGGAAGTTCATAACCCACTTGAATCAAAGTGTGAAATATGATATGTCAAGAACTATGTAATGTTTTGAACAACCAACAATAAAAATTAAAGGGAAAAAAAAATGACCATGGGTGGGAGGAACAATACATTCCATTTTTCTTTCAAGTAAGTAGTCCCAAAACATCCCAGGCTAGGGCTGTGATTCTGTTCCCTGAGGCCATCCAAGCACACAGTTTCCTTTTATCTTATTTCACTTTCCCCAGTGAGTGACCATTTTGGCCCATGGATGATCTACTGCTTTGTCCACATTCCAGGCAGCAGGATGGAGGAAGAGGGGAAACTGGTTGCTTTCTCTCTTTTTAAAGGTACTATCTAGAAGTTGTACTCATGGCTATTACTCAATATTCCACTGGCCAGAATTTATTCATGCCACATCCAGCTGCAAGGACCACTGAGAATATCTTTAAACAAACAACTATTTAAAAAATTGAAGTTCAAAACATATACTGCAAAGGTAAAAACCATAAATACATAAACGACTGGACTTTCACTAATTGAATGTGAATGCATAACCAGAATGCTGAACAACAGAGTAGCACCAGAATGCTGGAAGCCTCCTGCCATGTGGAACCACTGTTCTGTGATCTCAGAACACAGTTGCACCTGCATTTCTATTTTATTAAGTGGAATCATGCACACATTATTTGTGTCTGGATTCTTTGGCATGATATTAATGTGAGAATTGTATTTTATATATTATTATTGCAGGGCTTCATTTCCAACCAAAAGTGCACTACCATTAAAGCAGGCTACCAGCTGCTGGTTACCTTTCTCATTGGCTTTAATGTAGCTACTGAACATTTTTTCTATAAAGTCCTTTACCATTTCCTGTTGCCCATATTAACAAATTATTTCTCTCCCAACTTTGCTGGAAAATGGAAGTTGTGAACTCCTTTATGTTTTTTAACTATTTTTTTTTAGTTGTCAATGAATCTTATTTATATGCCATGCTGAGAATCAAATTCAGCGCCTCACACATGCTACTAGGCAAGCACTCTACCACTAAGCTACAACTCCATCCTATTCTTTTGTTTTTATTACAAGTATACACATCCATACTTATAAAATTTCTTTTAATCTAATATGAAGCTGGCACAGCATCACTCCTGCCACATTCTGTTAACAATCATCATAGGGTATGCACAGATTCAAGGAGGTGAAAAAATAAAATACAGTTCTTAATGGGTTACACTGAATAAGAGCAGATGTGAGGGAGCCTTGTACCTGGCATTCCTAGCCCAAAAGCATGGGCAAAATCACTTAAAATCATAGTAATCATATTAAGATCTATTAGAAATAATGTTACTGTTTTAAGCCACCATATCTTTTAGTGACTTGCTATGTAGCAATAACTGTAACAATAAAGTGTATGGATTACCAACTGTAACATGAATGCTGTGTTAATAAACCATCCTAGAATTATGTCCCCTACAATTTTTAGGATTTATTATTGCTTCATAATCTACAGGTCAATAGGATCATTCTGCAAATCTGAGCTAGGCTCGGCTGATCTTGGATGCATCAAACTTATTTGCAGTTAAGATGTCTTGCGGGTCAGGCTATTACCCTAGTTGTTGGATAGAAGTCTAAAAAAATAGGTGGAAGTGTTTAAAACCTTAAGAAGTCTACTTGTGGCTGGTTCACTGTTATTTAGTCTGAATTAACTTGGTCAAAACAAATCATAGGTCAGTCCTCTAGATTTAAGGGGTAGGAAAATAAATTCAGTCTTGGTGGCAGGAGCTACAAAGTCATGAGTACACAGAAGGACACAAAACTGGGGACTAAATAAATTTATCCCAAAGAAGAAAAAACTTTATCACTTTCATAGTTTTAAAGGAAAAAATTTTTCAATGTGGTAGGCAACAAAACTAAATTGTATCCAAAAACTGCCTACTCTTAATTCAAAATAGTAAAGGGACAGCTACTTTATTCTAAAATATATCCTAGGATGAAGATTCCGAGCCATTCAATGAACTTCATTAGGGTTTAACAACAGTAATCATCTCAAAGCTCTACTCACTACATATATTTCATCCTTTTTCACTCAGCTTTCACTGGTCTATTACTTTTCCTCCTTTCCTGTTCCTCTTATTCCATCTGAAGAAGCAAAAGCGGATTTTTTTGTTCCACCATAAAAATTAACTTAAGCTCTAAGGATTCAATAGAGCTCCCAATAGTGTCAGTACAATAACAAATAGGAAGTATATTTCTCTGCATAAAAAACCAATGTGAAACAATTAAAGAAAATAGACAAATAAATAAGACAACTGAAAAAGTCAACAACTGAACTTTAATAATTTTGGCAAAAGTGTTTCTGCAGATATTTAAGTAGAAAACATACATAAAAATGAAGAAAAACATTCTTTCTCCCCATGAGTGCTTCTTAGAACAGCTATGACTAACTTTAACATAATATATATCTCAGAGTTAAAAAACAAGAAACTAACAAATTTTTGCAAGTTCATCTTGGGACACATATATTTATTATTCTAATATCTCTTGATATTTGATTTGTTATTTTTATTGGTAGCTTTGCCTTTTCAAAGTTTTCCTAGGAGAAAATACAAAAAAAAAAAAAAGTGTTCAGATTACCCATCATTCTTTAATAGTACTTAGGAATAACACAGTCTTAAAACACAGTCTTAAAATAGCTAAACATCAAAAACCATTGATGAAATGTTGAAGTGCTGTTATTTTTAGATTCTTCTTTTTGAAAAGAATCTCTTTTTTCATTTTCTTAATGAAAAATAAATATTAAGATTTGTTTGTCCCGGCATTGGGCTGAGATATATCTATACTATGCATAAATTCAACACATAAGTTATTAAATAACTTTCACTTACTTGTACTGTATCACTTTTTTAAAAACAATTTTTTTAAATTTTTATTTATTTTTTAGTTTTGGGTGGAGACAATATCTTTTATTTTTATGTGATGCTGAGGATTGAACCCAGTGCCTCACGCGTGCCAGGCGAGTGCACTACCATTTGAGCCACATCCCCAGCCCCTACTGTATCTGTACTACCTTTCCATTTCATAAAAGGGTCTTGTCTAATGGGAGAGCAACACTAATAGGTAACAGAAAAGTGAGAAGCGAACTTTAGGAGATGCATTCATTCTGGCATACTTGAATCTTTCATGTAGGTTTTACCAGCACATCTCTTTTTTTTTTTTTTAAATGTTTATTTTTTAGTTGTACACAATACCGTTATTTTGTTTATGTATTTTTATGTGGTGTTGAGGATCGAACCCAGGGCCTTGCACGTGCTAGGCAAGTGTTCTACCGCTGAGCCACAACCCCAGCCCACCAGCATATCTCTTAATTGCACAGACAAATAATGATCAATGATAACTTTCCTTAGACGTATAAAACATGCTTACCTCTCTGTCAGCTCCAATCTTAACTGCAAAGAAAGATTATTGTCAGAACCCAATTCTAGGTGCTCTAACTACATCATATCTTTACAACTAGCTATCTTAAGTGTTTCTTAAGAGAAACATCATTAGCATTGCTGGTAAGATAATTTTTAGTTGTGTGGGACTATCCAGACACTGCAAAACATTCAGCATTCTTGGCCCACTCACTAAAAACCAGCAATTTAAGTCCACTATGACAACCTAAAAAACATATGTCCAACTACCTTTTGATGAGAACCACAGAGTTAGATATTCCAAGATTATTACCTGTTAACTTCATGACTTGCACAGAAAGTAACTGGCTTCATTATCTTCAGTAACAATGACTGAAGTGGAACATACTTTTAGAAAAACTTTTGATTAAATGCTACTCTGGGGAGATAAACTGATATTTTCAAACTCATGTTCATCTGAAAGGATGCAAAAAGTGCAGTACTTATTTATCCCCAAATGCACACATACATTTACAGGAAAATGTTTATATTCTACTGGCATATCTTACCCAATTATCTTTAGTATAAAAATATGTTCATCTATTACAGTAAGAGAAAAACATGTTGAGGATCCTGATAAGTTTCCTCACACAGATGCTCCTGGAAACTGCTGCTGTCTTTGCTCCAAAACTTGTTGATTTAATAGCTGCTGCTGCTTCTGCAAAAACTGCACTACTTCTGGACTTCTTAGTAATGACTTAAAGAAAAAAAAGAAAAAAAATTATTAAGAATGTTACTCTTATGTGGTCAGATTGTATTCATGCTATAGAATTATTCTGATGTGTCCCTACACAACATACACTATGTTTACAAAATTAAACATGCCTTAATCAAACTCATTGTTATAGCTGATGGACTGCAATCAAGCTGCAAACTAATAATAAAATCTGATGTGATTTTGGCCCCAAAAAGTTAAAAAAGAAAAACCAAATAAAGTGGGAATATTATCATTAAATATTTTCAAATTTTATGAATTATTTTGTATTACTTTTTATTGAATAGTTTGATTTTAAAAGTATTTGTAAAGATAGTCCAAAATCTTATTAAGTAAATGTACAATTATCTACTAAGCTGTTATGATACTTCTGGACATTTAAATTGTTTTTTGACTATTATTTTACTACTTGTGATAAATACATTTCCGGCATTCTCCTTACACTTAACTTTATCCATATTTAGAATTTACTTTTTGCAAAAATGTTCATATTAGTTTTGATTTGAGTCAAGAGGTGATCATTTTAGACTCCTGATATATACTGCTTGACTGCTTTGTAAAACTCCTATACCAACATAGGACAACAGAATGTCAGTGCCCATTTCATGAAATCTTCACCATTATTGTGTGCAATTATTAAATAATTTTCACTTACTGTTTACTGTTTCATTTTATTGATATTGACTACCTTTCCATTCCATTTAATAGTAATACTTTTGTTTTTTATCTTTTGCAGTGTATTGAGGCTAAAGGTTTTTCCTCATCAAATTATGTGAATGTTTTTGCCAGGCAGGGTGGGATATGCCTACAATCCCAGCTACTTGGGAGGCTGAGATAAAAGGACTGCTTGAGCCTAAGTTCAGGAGTTTGAGACCAGCCAGAGTAACACAACAACAATGCTATCTCAAAAAAAAAAAAAAAAAAAAAAGAAAAAGAAAAAAGAAAAAGAAAAGATCTCAACCATATTAACCACAGACTTTTATATTTGTGGCAATTATTTTTTTCCCATTGTTACTTTGTATTTTGATTTTTACTGTTTTTGACTACAGCATTCACTTTTATGGATCGAATTTATAATCTTTTTTGTTATTTTGTCTTTTAAGCTAGAAACACCTAATTCCAAATTTTTTAGATAAAATCCCAATTCTATTTTTTAAAAATTTTAAGACTCAGGAATTTTGTGTACAGTGGGTGGGTATGTTCTTTTATGACCTCAAATTACTAATATTCCAATAATTAGTGAACACTCGATCCTTTACTATTTACTTCTGATTCCTTCTATCAAATTTGCAATAGAGATCTGTATTAAATATTGGCTTAATCATACTTCAACAATAAAGTATTATTCCATAAACCTCAGAAAACAAGGAAAGTCTCTTTTAGAATTCTTATCTTTCTCAGATAGTCAAAGTTTAGTCATTGAAGAAACAGAATTAAAAGTATTCCTGCTCTTACAGTCCTCACGGCATCTATGAGATTCAATGTGTGCTGGCAAGTGGCAAAATACAATTTTGGTAGCCGGTTAACAAGTTTTAAAATCTCAAACACTAAAACAGTTCCACTTACAACAAACAACTTTCATTAATAGATTTGCAGCTACTACACAAGCTGATTCTTACCAGTCTTTTCTGATTTAACACTTGTTCTAAAAGAGTAGGTCTTGCAGGACGATCCCCAAAAGATCCTGTTCTTTGTTTGACAATAGAGAGTATATTGTCTGGACTTTCCTGGGATATGATAAAAACAAACAATATTAATAGTTAACAGCATAATAACTCACAATGGTAAGCATTTCAGAGATGTAATGAACTGATCTTTGCTTCTCTTCCTTTTGCCCAGTTCCTGTGAAACTTTGGGAAAGCCTCTCATTGTCATAGGAGAGGTGCTATGGAAGTTAACTATATCTCCTTAGTTCTTCCCCTCCAGGATTTCAACCTGGATTCTTCTGCATGTTGAAGGGGGAAAAGTTGGGGTAGGAGGGTGATGAGTTACTTCAGAGCTATCTTCATTGTTATAAAAAATGTCAAGCGGAATTGAACATTCTCCTCATATGGAGCTATCTGGGCCAAGATACAGAGTCTGCCTGCCTTTGAATGAAATATATGAACTCAGAGGCAATTTTACACTGCTAATGAGACACTAGATAGTTTTTAGCCCAATTTATAACCAAAATAAGGGTGAGGCAGTAAAACACTGCTTAAACAAGCAAATGATAAACAGCTTTCAGAATTCAGTAGGAGTCACTAGAGGGAAAAAAATAAATTGGTTTGACAGTATTAGAGAGCACTGGCATAAACAGTTTCTTGCCACTGATATAAATAAAACCGGTAAGTCCTATAATGATGCCATTACCCTCAGATATCAAAATCTAAACAAAATCAGCATACTTACTAAAAATATATACCTCTAGTTACCTTAGAAAATCTAAAGTACTTAACAATTTCTCTGGCATAACAAAATACTGTTCCAGTTATCTGAAGCATTCTGACTCTCCTTTTATGGAGCAGAATGGGAATAAAAGTGAAGCTCTACAATTAGACTGCTTATGTTTGAACACTTGCTGGCTGTGTGACCTAGGCTAAATTACTTACCCTTCATGTGATTCAGTTTCCATCTATGTAGTACAGAACCTACCTCACTGATGAAGAGTTGTGAGACTCCACTTATAGCCTAGCACAGAAGAAACAGCCTCCTTTCTGGCCTATACACATTTCCTCTGCAAAGCCTTTCCAGAGTATCTCAGCCTTCAATGAGCTATTCCACCTTAAACTACTATAGCAGTACTATGGCGCCCTTATTATATTCTAAATGGCTATTTTCTTTACACTTGGTTCAACAAAGATCAAGACTTAGAGCTTTTATAATCTCCTCAAAACTGGGGAAGTGTCACACAAGAAAAGACAAATGGCCTAGTATTACAGTAATTAATTCTCCTCCCTAAAACCCATGCAAATTATTTTATTTTTTTTTAAAGAGAGAGAGAGAGAGAGAGAATTTTTAATATTTATTTTTAGTTTTTGGCAGACACAACATCTTTGTTTGTATGTGGTGCTGAGGATCGAACCCGGGCCGCACGCATGCCAGGTGAGCGCGCTACTGCTTGAGCCACATCCCCAGCCCCATGCAAATTATTTTAAAACAGAGAAATTATTAAAGTTCTTTTTGGGGAGGGGTTATGGATTGGGAGATGCTAATTTACTATCTATTTGTCCTTTATACATTTCCCCTCACACTATAGATGTAAATGATGGTAATTCAAAACAAAAACAAAAAACAAGTAAACAAAAGCAGCCAAGGATAAAATACTTCCTTGAAGAGGAGTATTATCTTTTCTCTGTAAAGAATTCTGAAGTGTATGGGTACCTGTGGAACATATAAGGGACAAACCTGATTCCTTTTACTAACTTCCATTCTGTACTAAGTAAGATGATTGTTTAATCCAAGATCTGGTAAAATATATTATTTTACAAGAATAGAGGTGGGTCTAGGATCTACAGGGATCCTGAACTGTATGAATTTGTATGCAACATTAAACATCTGTATATGTTTGTTTGTTTGTTTTTCTGGAACAGTCTTCGTTAGGTTTTATTAGATTGTCAAAGGACTCCTTTTTACCTCTAGTAAGTGCTGAGGACAATTCCAAAAGATACAATCCCAAATGCCATAATTCCAAGTATTGAACTTCCAAGAGATCAAAATCACTTAAGCCTAAGTTCTCTAATGTCTAAAATCCCCAAAATAATAATTCTGAAAAGTTAAAATTCCAAAAACCATAATTCAAAAGGGTGGCACCACACAAAAAATGATGTGACTGCAACCTCGACCCATCCAGGAATAGGTGGGCATGTCCTGGCAATAGGGTTTTCGTCAAGTGTGGGGTCTCTTCTTCCATCTCCCATTCCCCAGGACCCCAGCAATACCTCCAGTTTGACGTTTCCCGCGCTGCCAGATGAGGTGGCCCCACCACAATTCAGGGCCTGGTCGCTTTTCTTCTTTTTGTACTTGTCCTTGTACATCTTGTTGCGGTGTTTCTTGCACATCCACGGCTTCCGCTGTTTGGCCACTTGGCTCGTGGTCTCATTGCAGCCCTCGTAGGTACAAGTCTTGCTCATGTTGCCCCCGCCGCTGCCCCGTCTCCGGGTTCCCCCGCTGCAGCTCTCGCCCCCTGAGTGTGTCTCCTCGTCCTCCAGATCCTCCAAGCTGGCTGTGCTCTCGCCTCCCCCTGGGGGGTCCGAAGTGTCCAACAGGTCCGCTTCATCCTCCCCTGCGTCCTCCTCAGCATCCCCTGACACTTCACACGGGTACCCAACCCGCTGTCCCACTCCGACGCTGCCCGACGGGAGCGGGGCCTGCCGCAGGACGCTCTCCGCGGAGGCCTCGTCCTGCCCTCCACATGGGTGCATCACCAGCAGAGTGAACTGAGAGGCCGGGGCCGCGATGGGGGCAGCAGCCAGGGCCGCGGCTGCAGCAGGGGCGGGGGCCCCGGGGCAGGGCACGCCGCCTCCGGAGCCCGGCCCCGCGCCCTCGGCGACACCCGGCACCTCCGTGCTGCTGAGTCTTGGCCGGGGTCCACGACCCCAGATTTTCAGCACCTACGGAGGCCAACGGCACTTGACAAACCAGAAGACAGCCAAGCCACAGGAAAAGGAGCTAGGTCCGCGAACGGACCCCGACTGCGTCTGCGCAGCACTACGCTCGAGAGCGTCCTTACGGCAGCGGCTCTCGGAGCTCGGTGTCTCTGAGGGCGGGGCCGAATGGCAGCGGGACCTGACTGACTGCGCATGTGCGGCTAAACCCAAATTCTCTGGCGGGAGCCGCTGAAACAGACGCCGTTGAAGCGTGGTCAAGTATGGCAAGACCACGCTTTTTGGCTGAACTTATACTCTATTTAGAACGTCTCAAACTGCTTTTCTATTGGAATTCCACTATGTAAATTAAGACACTTCCTGAACATGTTTTTGTATGTTTCATAGTTGGATTGATTTTAATTCCATTTTCAAATCTTTCCAGGGTCCACATTACATTTTTTTTTTTTAAAGGGGAGGTGGGGGGCGGGGAGAGGCCTTTATTTATTTACTTACTTATTTTTTATGTGATGCTGAGAATCGAACCCGGGTCCCGCCCGTGCCAAGCGAGCGCTCTACCGCTGAGCCACAATCCCAGCCCCACATTACATTTTGTACACATCTTTGTTATGGAACGAGAGCTATTTATTCAATTTTCACTATTCATGTCTAGCTCCTCTAGGGCAAACGCTGTAATTATTTCTAACTCTGAATTCTCTACCATATTCCTTTTAGATGGGTTTAGTATTACACTGATTTTTATACATTATAATTACTGAACAGATTATTTTTCTTAAAGAATTGTCCGTTTGTCACTCTGATCCTGCTGGAAGTTACTGCATCTCATGGTTGGATTAAAATGATGAAGTGTGAGTTTGTCTCTATCTCTTCTTCCTAAAAGGTTTATTCTGCTGCTGCCCTCTATAAGCCTATCATGTTTTCTAGCCAGTAGTAGAGATTTTATCTCTCTCTCTCTCTCATATATATGTATATGTGTGTGTGTGTATATATATATATATATATATATATATATATATATATATATATTTGTGTGTGTGTGTGTGGTACTGGGGAATGAACCCAGGGCCTTGTGCATGCAAGGCAAACACTCTACCAACTGAGCTATATTCGCAGCCCTCTTTTAAGTTTTTGGGTTTTTTTTACTTGACAGTAGAGTATTTTTGACATACAAATATAGAATAAATATAACTTGTTCCAATTGTTGTGGCTGTACATGATGTGGAGTTGCATTGGTCGTGTATTCATATAAAAGGATAGGAAATATATGTCTGATTAATTTTACTGTCTTTCCTATTTGCATCTCCCCTCCCTTCCCTTCATTACCCTTTGTCTAGACCAAAATCAAGTCTAATCTTCCCTTTCCTTGTTGTGGGTTAGCATCCACATGTCAGAAAGAACATTCTGTCTTTGGCTTTTGGGGACTGGCTTATTTCACTTAGCATGATATTCTCCAGTTTCATCCATTTACTGGATGAAATGAAAATGTCATAATTTCATTCTTCTTTATGGCTAAGTAATATTCCATTGTGTATATATATACCATATTTTCTTTATCCATTCATCTGTCTGAGGGCATCTAGGTTGGTTCCATACTGTGATCTGAGCTGCTATAAACATTGAACAGCTGCATCATCATAGATGCTGATTTTAAGTCTTTAGGGTATATTCCAAGGAGTGGGATAACAGAGTCAGATGGTAGTTCCATTCCAAGTTTTCTAAAGAATCTCCATACTGCTTTCTAGAGTGATTGCACCAATTTGCCGTCCCACCAGCAATGTATAAGTGAACCTTTTCCCCCACATCCTCGCCAACATTTATTGATGCTTAGATACTTCATAATTGCCATTGTGACTAGGGTGAGATGGAATCTCAATGTGGTTTTGATTTACATATCTCTAATTGCCTGAGATGTAGGAATATATATATATATATATATATATATATATATATATATATATATATATATATATATCACCTTTATTTATTTATTTTTATGTGGTGCTGAGGATCAAACCCAGTGCCTCACACATACTAGGCACGTGCTCTACCACTGAGCTATAACCCAGCCCCCAGAATGCATTTTGATTCATTGTATACAATTGCAGCACAATTTTACATTTCTATGGTGGTACATAGAAGTCATATTGCATCATACTTGTACCTACAGTAATGATGACCATCTCATTCCATCATCTTTCCTGCCCACATTCCCCTTCCCTCTCTACCCTCCCCTTTCCCCCATCAAAATTTCTCAATTTCCCCCCACCCCCCATTATGGATCAGCATCCACTTATCAGAGAGAACATTCGGCCTTTGGTTTTTTGATCCGCTTAATTCACTTAGCATGATATTCTTCAACTCCATCCATTTACCTGAAAATGCCATAATTTTTTTCTCTTTTATTGCAGAGTAATACTCCATGGTGTATATACACCACGGTTTCTTTATCCAGTCATCTTTTGAAGGATATCTAGATTGCTTCCATAGTTTAGCTATTGTAAATTGACCTGCTGTAAACATTGATGTGGCTGCGTTACTATAGTATGCTGATTTTAAGATCCTTGGGTATAGACTGAGGAGTGGGATAGCTGGGTCCAATGGTGGTTCCATTCCAGGTTTTCTAAGGAATCTCCATACTACTTTCCAGATTGGTTGCACCAATTTGCAGTCCCACCAGTAATGTGTGAGTGTGCCTTTTCCCCCACATCCTTGCCAACATTTACTGTTGTAGGTATTCTTGATAACTGCTATTCTGATTGGCATGAGATGAAAGCTTAGAGTAGTTTTGATTTGCATTTCTCTAATTACTAGAGATGTTGAACATTTTTTCATGTATTTGTGATCAAATGTATATCTTCTTCTGAGAAGTGTCTGTTCAACTCCTTAGCTCATTTATTGATTGGGTTGGGTTTTTTTTTTGGTATTAAGTATTTTTTAATATTTATTTTTTAGCTTTATGTGGACACAATATCTTGATTTTACATTTATATGGTGCTGAGGATTGAACCCAGTGCATGCTAGGTGAGTACTCTACCACTGAGCCACAACCCAGCCCCTGGTGTTAAGTATTTTGAGTTCAGTGCTCTATCAGAAGTGTGTGTGGCAAAAACTTGCTTCCAAAATGTAGGCTGTCTCTCCACCTCATTGACTGTTTCTTTTGTTGAGAAGAAGCTTTTTAGTTTGAGTCCATCCCACTTATTAATTCTTAATTTAATTTCTTGTGCTATAGGAGTCTTATTAAGGAAGTTCGTTTCTAAGCCCACATCTTCTAGTAGGTGCAGAGTCTCTGGTGTAATCCTAAGTGCTTGATCCATTTTGAGATGAGTTTTGTGCAGGATGAGAGATTGAGGTTCAATTTCATCCTAGTACATATGCATTTCCAGTTTTCCCAGCACCATTTATTGAAGAGGCTATCTTTTCTCCAGTGTATATTTATAGTGCCTTTGTCTAGTATGAGATAACTATATTTATGTGAGTATGACTTTGTGTCTTCTAATCTGTTCCATTGGTCTTAATATCTGTTTTTGTGTCAATTTCATGCTGTTTTTGTTATTATAGCTCTGAAGTATAATTTAAGGTCTGATATTGTGATGCCTTCTGTGTCATTTTTCTTGATAAGTATTGCTTTGGCTATTCTGGGCCTCTTATTTTTCAAAATGAATTTCTGACTGCTTTTGCTAGTTATATTAAGAACATCATTGGAATTTTAGTAGGAATTGCATTAAATCTGTATAGTGCTTTTGGTAGTGTAGCCATTTTGACAATATTAATTCTGCCTATCGAAGAACATGGAAATCTTCTAAGGTCTTCTTTAATTTCTCTCTGTAGTTTTCATTGTAGAAGTATTTCATTTTTTGTTAGATTGATTCCCAAATATTTTATTTTATTTTTTTAGGCTATTATGAATGGTATAGTTTTCCTATACACCAATGAAGACTCAGCTGATTCTTCTTTGGTGTATAGAAACACAACTGATTTATGGGTGTTAATTTTATATCCTGCTACTTTGCTGAACTCATTTATGAATTCTAAAAGCTTTCTGGTGGAGTTTTTTGGGTCTTCTAAATATAGAATCATGTCATCAGCAAATAGGGATAGTTTGAGCTCTTTTTTTCCTATTTATAATCCTTTTAATTTCTTTCTTTTGTCTAATTGCTCTGCCTAGGATTTCCAGGACTATGTTGAATAGGAGTGGTGAAAGAGGGCACTCCTGTTTTGTTCCAGTTTTTAGAGGGAATTCTTTCAATTTTTCTCCATTTACAGTCATGTTGGTCTTGGTTAGCATATATAGCTTACCAAGGTATGTTCCTACTATCCCTAGTTTTTCTAGTATTTTTAGCATGAATGTATGCTGAACTTTGTCAGATGCTTTTTCTGTATCTATTGAGATAATCATGTGATTCTGATCCTTAAATCTATTGATGTGATGAATTACATATATTGATTTCTGTATGTTGAACCAACCTTGCATCCCTGGAATGAACCCCACTTGATCATGGTGCACTATATTTTTTTTAAAAACTTTTTTTATAACTTTATTTTATTTATTTACTTTTTATGTGGTGCTGAGGATCGAACCCAGTGCCTCACCTATGGTAGACAAGTGCTCTACCACTGAGCTATAGGTCTAGCTTAGCACTGTCTTTTAAATATATTTTTGTATGCAGTTTTTCAGTATTAAGAATTTTTGCATCTATGTTCATCAGGGATATTGGTCTGAAGTTTTCTTTTCTTGATGTGTCTTTGTCTCGTTTTGGTATCAAAGTGATATTAGCTTCGTAGAAGTTTGGAAGGATTCCCTCCTTTTGTATTTCAAGGAATAATTTGAGGAGTATTGGTGTAAATACTTCTTTGAATGTTTATAGAACTTGGCTGAGAAGCCCTCTGGTCCTGGGCTTTTCTTTGTTGGAAGGCTTTTGATGATGTCTTCACTTTCATTGTTGGAAATTGATCTGTTTAAATTTTTTATGTCTTCCTGATTCAATTTGGGTAGGTCATATATCTCTAGAAATTTGTTGGTGTCTTAATATTTTCTATTTTATTAGAGTATAGATTTTCAAAGTAGTTTCTGATTGTCTTCTGTATTTCACTAGTGTCTGTGGTGATATTTCCTTTTTCATCATGAATTTCAGTAATTTGATATTTCTCTTTCTCTTCATTAGTTTGGCTAAGGGTTTGTCAATTTTTTATGTATTTTTTTCAAAAAAACAACTTATTTTTTGTTGCTTTTTGACTTGTTTTTCGGTTTCAATTTTATTAATTTCAGCTCTGATTTTAATTATTCCCTGTCTTCTACTGTTTTTGGTGTTGATTTGCTCTTCTTTTTCTAGGGCTTTGAGGCGTATAGTTAGGCAATTTAATTGGTGACTTTCTATTCTTTTAAAGAATACTTCAATGCAATGAACTTTCCTCTTAGAACCACCTTCATAGTGTCTCAGAGATTTTGGTAACTGTTTCGCTATTCTCATTTAAGTATATATATTTTTATTTCATCCCTGATTTCTTCAGCTGTCCATTGGTCATTCAACAGTGTATTATTTAAGTCTCCAGCTTCTGTTTTTTATTTTATTATTGCATTCTAATTTCATTCCATTATGATCTGATAAAATACAAGGTATTATTTCTATTTTTTTTTTTTTTGGTATTTGTTAAGAATTGCTTTGGGGCACAAGATATCATCTATTTTAGCAAAGGAGTCATGAACCACTGAGAAGAAAGTGCATTCAGTTATTGATAGATGAAATATTTTATATATGTCTGTTAAGTATAAATTGTTAATTGTATTTTTTATTTCTGTAGTTTCTTTATTAAGTTTCTTTTTTTAAGATCTATCGAGTGGTGAGAGGTATATTAAGGTCACTTAGTATAATTGTGTTGTGGTCTATTTGGTTCTTGAAATTGTGAAGGGTTTGTTTGATGTATGTAGGTGCTCCATTGTTTGGGGCATAAATATTTAAATTGTTATGTCTTATCAATATATTGTTCCCTTAAGCAGTATAAAATGGCCTTCTTTGTCCTTTCTGATTAACTTTTGGCTTGAAGTCCACTTTATCTGATATGAAGTTAGAGATCCGTGCTTATTTATGAGATCCATGTGAATGATATGTTTTT